CCCCAAAACCCCAAAACCCCAAAACCCCTGAGATAAAAATAGTTTGGATTTATGAAAAATAATTTTTTACGAAATTAAGATCCTAATTAATTAATTGTATATATATATAGTTAAACAATCTAAGAAAATGAAATTTTTCAATAACTTATAGTTTTATTTGTCAATACTTGGATCTGGAATTGATTATTCTTTAGTAACCAATAGCAGTAGAAGAATTATTGAAAGGATCTTAGATTTTTTCTTCGAGATATTTATCATCTTCGAATTTCTCCTTGAATCTAAACTTTTAAGCTGCTTAGTTATTTTATCTCTTGGTACTGAAGGGAACTGGAGGTAACTATTGGCTCTTATCGATTTAATTTTGTCTCTCATTTTTCATTTTATCTGCTTATGGACTTCTATAATCGAATCCAATCGATTTAGCCTTGAGATGCTTAACAGTTTGACTGTGATTAGGAGTCATCCACTGTTATTCGATCTCGGTAGAGCTCAAGTTCTTAGAATTATTGATTTAGGGCAATTTATTATTAGATATAGGAGTTGGAGGTTAAGACTCATGAGTGGTGCTTTGCAAAGTCGAGCCAGAGTCCTTTTAGCTCCTAATTTTTTCTACTACTTTGTAGATTTAGTTATTCAAAACAAGTCTGTTCTTATTTAGTTTCTGATTTGTTATTTTTTCTGTGAGGCTTTTAATTTTTTGCTTCATCATTATCTTCTAAAGCTTCAAGTTAACATCAGTTTTCTGATGTCTAGAATGACTGGGTGTCTTCGAATTGAGGCATAATGTTTTGACTTAGTCATTATTCAGATTGCTAAGACTCATGTCAGACGTATAAGTACGAGAATTTGTTCCAAGTGTTCTTAGTAATTAAGAATTTCACTTTGCTGTAAAAGATTCTCCGAAGTTCCTATTAAGATTACTTTGGCTCATGTCAAGATTTTCATTACTTTTAAATTTATGTGATTATTGGAAGTTTGTGTTATTGAAATTATTTTCCTAACTTGAGGGAGAGCTATCTAAACTAGTGTCATCGACTTTTAGGGTAAGTGATTTTTAGGAGCTTAAAATTGGAGTTTAGGACAGAGGGAGCTATAGAAAGGATTTTTTCTACAGCTTAAGAGTCTCAATCTTGAGTAGTAAGCGAGATTGAAAATTTTCCTTGCTAGTTTTCAAATCTTTTCCTTTTTCATTATTTTCAATCTAAACTCCATAATTATTATGATTATTAATTCTGGTTAGACTTCTATCACCTATTTGAGATGAATTATGAATTTTTATTTGATATTTATCATTCATCTTGTTGTTAGCTTAAAGTAATGGGTTAAATGATTGCTCATATGGCGTCTATGGATATGTTACGCTGATACTATTCGAAGAACTTAATGAAAAAATAGTATCCTCGAATTTCTTTATGTCCATATTAGTTAAATCATTATTTTAAGATATAAACCTAGCATTATCTTTCTCTGATTACGATGGTCTGCTTTATTCTCTTTCTTCGTTATTTCTATTATGCTATTTTTTCCTCTATATAAACTTAACGATGCTGCCTGTACGATCATCTGCCATTCGTTTAAGGGTTGTAGTATTATTTATAGGCGTTTAGTTAGTTTATTCGTTTCTCGATTCTTGCAATTATTCCCAGTTTTACTCAAAATATTACTCCAAATCCTTGCCTATAGTTTCTCTTAATTTCTCTTCAAGAAGCTTGAGCTGACTCAACTCCTTTCGTTAAATCTTATTCTTGATGTTTGAGGGTGGTTTTATTGATGTCTTGAACTATTCAAGGTTAGTAACTCTGCTGCTAGACTAGCTATTCTAAAATTATTGTAGTTGAAATTCCATTCTAAATATTTAAGTTTAGTGTATTGATTAATTGTTCTAGTTTTTAATTATTAATAAACTGATTTAGTAATTATTGTCTCAATATACAGTTCTGTCTAAAATATTAATAAAATTTTCTTATTCATTTATTTCAAAGTATTATCATCTATCATTTAATTTCATGAGAAATCTACTTGTCTGGGGTTTTGGGGTTTTGGGG